CTGTCTACCACTTCTTGCCAAACACCACCTGCACCAGAGAAGAGCTTGACCATTTGCCTGTCGAATATCCCACCTCCTCCCTAACAACAGTATCCAAAAAAAGACTGTGAAACTTCAACATATGGAGAAGAGGAAGGGTTAATGAATGAAAATGGCAAGAGTTTACAACACCCTTAGAGATGAAAAATTATATTTACATTTAAAATATGAGTGGGCAATGCAGAGCGTGGCAAGAGATCATTTTTGCAATAACTATGGGACACGGAAAACACAACCCAGTGTTCAAATAACTGATGAGCCCAGGGCAGCTCTTTCACCATGTCCTTAGTTTATCCTTCTTTTGATCTTCAGGCGCCACAGCCTCTCTGCACTGAACAGGGAGAACTTCCCCTGCATGGCTCTCTGCAGCTTACCCTTCTACAGATGCCCACTGGTTTTCTGTGACATTACCTTTTGTGTGAATCAGGAACATATTCAGAAGTTTTTACATTCAGGCTAATATACTGTATTCTGTTTCCACGTTATCCTCCAAATCTGGACATTCCCAAAATGTTCCAGATCATCTGCTCACATGTCCATGTGAAGGGAAACCAGTATTTCTTGTCATTCATCTCTAGTGACACCCTCACCAGAATCTGGTTAAAAACTTCTCTGCTATCACTCAAGAGCATCATGGCCCACTCCAAGCTTTACAGCAACATGTTCTTTTTGCTTCCCATTAGTTCCTATGCTGTACAAGCACAACATCAAATCTGAAATTTTAACCCATTTATATAGAATTATTTTTAAAATTAGTTATTTTAAACACACACCCCACTATTTTTCATGCTTTGTAAAAAAGAACACAAATATTAATATCCTTCTCTATTTCTATAAAGAGTTTTCTGGAAAACAAATGTCGTATTTGTCAGTGTATGCATGTGTACTTCCACATAGGTGAACATATGCACTGTTAATCACTGTACATTAAAGAAAACCAAACAAACTTTGAATTCCTCTTTTTCCACTGGAAAAATTTACAAACATGCACTTCTGATGGAATTTTAGTAAATGTGCATATTATCAGATTTTCTCACAGGAAAATCTGATCAGAATATACTCCAGCTTATGTATACTTAAAACAAATCTTGCAGTATCAAGAATTTTGTTTTATTACTAAGCATATAGAATTGATGTTACCTGCTAAAGAGTATCTAATTTCTAAAGATAAACATAAAAAGGGGAAGTAACCACAGAGCTGCAAAATTGGTAAGGCTATATCTTGAGGCCACCTTCTGTGCCACATGTGACAGAAATGGAGCCTCTTTTTTCACAACTAAAGTTTTATCATATATTACTGGGGAAAAAAAAAAAAAAAAAAAAGGTAGTGGAAGTTTTCATTCCAAAGCATGACATACAACTCTTGTTTGCAAGTTACACGCTGCACAGTACCACCAGTGAAACACCAACTTGGGTTTCGAAAACAAACTAAATACTTACAGGTTCTGTTCCTAACATGATGTAGCTATTGTGATGTCTTCCAATACCATAACATTAAATTAAATGCATTTGTGCTCTTATCACACATACACACAAACAGGTGAACCCCCTTAGTAAGTGACCATACAAAGAACACCAACTGATTGGTAGCACAGAAGAGGAAATCCTCTCCTCACAGAAATCAGCAGCAAATTCCAACTGATGGTGGCGATCAAGAATTGTATCCTTGTTTAAACCATCATGAATACTACACCCAAAAGAGACAAGTATTTTCTAGCCTCCTTTAGAGATGAACTATGGTGTGGCCAGTCTCTTCGCGAACGAAGAACCGGGGAAGGTCTTTCCACCTTCCAGCCTGTGCATTGGATTTTTTTTTTTTAGGTGAGACACAGTGTGCGCGGAACTGAGCCCACCCTTTAATCCTGAGGTTCATCTGCCGGGGCCAAGCACGCTTGGACGGTGGCAGCGAGGTCCTCAGGACGTAGATGGATTGCCTTACAGGGCTAACGAGCTCCATCTGCCCGGGGAGGGGCCCCGACCGGGAATCGATCCCGGGTCTCTGCAGTGACAGTGCAGTGTGTTTTCCTCTACACCCCCGGGGGCTCCCTAAAGAGATGAACTATACAGGTTTCTTGTATCACTAATGATTTAAAAAAAAAAAAAAAAAAAAAATTGTAAAAAAAAAAAAAGTGAATTAAAAAATCACCAGCAAAACTTAAATTTTGCCTCATTTTTACAGCTCTGATGGTAGGAAGGGGAAGAAGGACTTTCCTATAAGAGTCTTAATTCACTGTTAGATATCCTGAGAACACCACAGGAAAGGTGCTTTTTTACTGCAAAGTTGTGTATGTGTTTGTTGGTTCTCCTTTTTTGTCCACAGCTGCAGACAAAACAAAGAACATGGACGTGAATAGCACTCTGAACAACAGTATAAACCCTGACATAGTTTACAGAGAGGTTTTGCAAAAAAAAAAAAAAAAAAAAAAAAAAAAAAAAAAAAAAAAAAAAAAAAAAAAAAAAAAAAAAAAAAAAAAAAAAAAAAAAAAAAAGGCCAAATTATCTCTCAGATACAACCACGCAATCACATGGATCAGGATTTGTGCACATACCTATTTTAAATTATTCTCAAAGGATGCATTCTCTCTCTTTCTCATCCTCTGTACAACTCCTCTGAAGTCAGTAATACAGATGCTCTGCACTTCCAAACACATCTCCTTCGTTTACTGTCAGTTCAGGCACTCAATAATCTTATGAGCAGTTAATGTCTTTGATGGCAACATATAATGAAGAAAATATTTTTGCAAGCAGGGTGTTATGCCATGATATGTAGTTACTGCTTTTTCTACCCATGAGGCTTTCCTTTATTAGACTAGGTTGCACACTGTAGACACATCCTCACTTCAGGTCCTTCACCAGAGGTGCCAGAGGTGCCAGAGGTCCCGGTGATTTAAGACCTGAGGCTGAATTAGTAATCCCAGGGCTTTAGGAATTCATTTATAAATGAAGGCTATAAGGTCTTTAGGGCAAAAAGAGAAAGGAAAACAAAACACATTGAATTCCTATTACGTGTACTCCAGAAGGTCCTTTTTGTTCTTTATTTTCTCTTGTAAGTTGACTTTACACTCTACAACCAACAGAGTAAATTAATTTTCCCAAAGGATGGAACCACTTATCCATTTTTGGTAACGCATTAACAGGTGAACTGATGGTGGAAAGTCTTGGGAGCCCAATATCAACAACAATTCCCAAAAGGAAAGGTTGTCATTTTTTGTTATTTGTGTCATATTGTAAGGCAAAGGCAATACCTGACTGGTTCACTTAGCTTCCTGGCAATACTTTCCAGCTTTTTTCAAGGGAACATCACTTGTTCAAGAATATTCACCAGCTGGAGGTCAGAACACAGGGTGGAGAATTGAAGACTTCTCTAAAAACAATTAGCAGTAATAAAACAATTATTCATAGCATTTAATACTATATACCCCTTGACACTTCAGTTTTCTGCACAGACTATTCCACAGAATATCCACCATGAAGATGGCAAGTCTTAGTATCACAAATTAGAAATCTGCAACAAGCCTTCACATCCAATGAAATGTCACTGAATCCAAATATGTACAGATACTTTATTGTACTGCGTAATACATATATGTGTTGCTCGGTACAATAGAAGCCAATCTGGTTAGTCCTGCACAATTTCCTATGTAGTGTTGGAAATGTTAGCCCTGTACTCTGCACACCATATGTATTTATAGCACATATTGAATATATGTATACTATTGCAAATAATAACAGAAGATGGATCTACTTCTGAGAGCAGTACAGGAGTGGAGCACCTTTGGGAACTGTTCTTGACTATTGGAACTTGCCTAACTAAGATGGCAATGTCAGCTTTTCCTCACACTCCCTCTCTGCGCTCCTCGAGGTCATCCACTTTCTTAACTACCTGCTGTCTGCAGCTTCCTAACTTCCCCAAAGCTAAAGAAGTTCAACTCAAACACATACAGAAAAACCCAAGACTGCAGGTCACACACTGAAACAAGGCAGATGTTAGTGCATTTGATGACAAAAGGACTTACAAGAGTCAGCTCAAATTCCCTACAAAATTCAGCACCCTTCCTAAACCTTAGACCATCCCAGGTTCTTTGCTCCTATATTACCATTAGCACAGTAGGGCTGCTGTTCTCCCAAGTGTGCGTATCTCCAACAGAGACCCACAATTTTTTTCTCTTCTCCTGTACAGATATATTCTGGCTTGTATCCTTGTGTGTATGAACAAAGTGACTCTAAAATTCATTATACAAACTGCAGATCCTCCCAGAAACCTTCCCATTCCCACAAGGAGAAAGCCTTTGCAAGACTATGGCTGCTGCAAAGGCACAAAACCTCAGTGCAGATGGCTCCCACGGATCTTGCAGATGATATCGCAGTATCCAACAAGCTACCTGCCCTTTTCTTCCTCTAGAAATGGTGCTAAGGAAGGAGTTCTGAGATCCTTTTGTGGAGATCCCACCAACACCTGTGGATTAGCAGACTCATGCACTTACTTACTCATGCATTTCAACTTAGTTGAAACACCAAAAATTATTTTACAGCAAGTTTTGCTTTGGAGTCTAAACCCTCAGGCGTACAAAGAGCTAAGTATATCCAAGACAGAAAGCTGGATTCCCATTAAAAAGCCACTTGCAGGCGTTCATGGAGCAGTGATCATGCAGGGGACAAAGCCTACTTTTCCTCCTTCCAGTAAACCTGTATCTTCCATAGACAAACAATGAATGCCATCAACTACCAGCATACACTAAGTTATGTCCAGCTCTGTATTTCTGCATGACTGAATTCTTTTTGTGTATTGCTGCACTCAAGTGTGTGGCTTCTAAAATATTTCTGTAATGACAGCAGGACATTTATGAAAATGCTGTTCAGCTCAAAGCACAGCAGACCATGCAACAGTGAGCACCTGACTGAAGGCAGTATGTCACACTGAAGACCTGCAAGGAGAACAAAGCTTTCAGTGTGCCACTTACACTAAGCCATCTTCCTGAGGGCCCCAGTCAACCCCTTGTACACACTCAATTTTTCTTGCTTGAAGCAGCATATATTTGCAAGAACAAGGCTGTAGCATCGAATGCCACATACTTGGCAGGCTGGGAAAGCTGAGTCTGTGCCTCTGAGACCATGAGGTAGAGGGGTTTTAGGGAGGCAAGCAGTAGGAACTGCTCTCTTCGCATTTACACTTATACCAGGAATATAATTCCCAGGTGTATTTCAGTTACATGAAATCCAATCTTGACTTTTTAAGCAAGTCTCTGACACATCAACTATTTGCCCTCCTGGATGATGTGGATGCTCATTCATTACGTGAACTCCAAGGGATAATACATTCCAAAGTTATTCATGAGGTAATACAGTTTGTCTTTAGTGCAGTCATGATACGACTGGATGCAAATCAAAAAGGGCTTCACTGTGCAAATAATACATAAAGAAATATATTATAACATTCAGGAACCTCAAAGATACTTGCTTCACTAGAGGAATCGTTTGTGTAACTGGAAAAGACTTCAAATATTAGGCTAATAAATAAAGACTTCATTTCCAAGGAAAGAAACCGCAACCATTTTTTTCATCATTTTTGGGTAGAGCTGCTTGCTGACATTTATGTCTTCACTACAACATTAAAAGCACAGCAAACAGTATTACCATAAAATAGCAAGTCTATGAAAATAAACGAAAAAATCCCATAGGATTTCAGAATGCACAATTTCGAATTCAGAGTGTGTTGCGTACAAACCCAACTTTGCATTTTACCAGCCCTCCTTTTCTTTTTACATTTCAGCACGACATAATTGTACAAAACGCTACAAACGTGGAATAAAACTACAAATTCTCCTCCTTAAAATAAAAGGTTACGCTTGCAATTACACGACTTCTGACATATCATTTTGTGCAATTACTAATTAACTAGGACCCCGCGATGGAATAACGCAGGAGTAGTGATTTTCTTCCTCGAGAGCAGCGCCTGCTTCGTTTTAAATCAAGTTCCGCTACAGCGGGAGGGAAAACTACACCGACACGCGAACATATGCTCATGGGGCGGCGGGCACCGCGGGGGATCACCCGCTTCTCTTTGGGCAGCCCCGCGCAGCGCGGATGCCGGCACGCCCGGCCCGGCCCGGCCCGAGGCAGCCGCGTCGCCCCCTCCCCAGGCCGGGCGCGGCTGGCGGCGGCGGCGCTGGGCGGAAGCAGGACAAACAAAGCCGCCGCACCCCGTACCCTCCTCCCGGCGGGGCTGCCCTGCTCCGCCGCTGCGGTGCGGGGCTGGCGGCAGGGCAGGGTCGCACCGCCCCTGGCCCGCGGAAGGAGGGCCGGGCGGGGCGAGCGCGGGGGCTCTGCCCGCGGCACGGCACCGCTCCGCGCCGCCGCAGCGCCACTCACCGCGCCGGCCGTGCCTCGCCGAGCGGGTGTGCGGGCGCGCAGCGGCCGCCGCAGGTGCCGCGGAGGAGGAAGCGGGGGCGGGCAGCGCTGCCGAGCCAACCGGCGCCTGGCGCGGCGCCGTGAGTCACCAGCGGCCGCGCAGGGCGGCCGGGCGGCGGTATAAGAGCGCCGCGGGGACACCCCACCCCCCCGTGCATGTCTCCGGCTGCCGCCTCCCTTCGTCGCCTCTCCGACCGCGGTGCCTGCCTGCCCGCCCGCCCTCTCCCCGTCCTCGGCGCGGCGATGCGGCTGGACCGGCAGCACGGAGACCCGAGCGGCGCGGCCGGCGGCGCCAGGCGCGGCACGGAGCGGCGGGCGGTCCCGCGGTGCTGGGCGCTGCTCCTGCTGCTCGCCCTCGGCTGCCTGCCCGCAGCTGCCGATGGTGAGTGCGGGGCCGGGGCAGCGGGATGGGGCGCGCACCGCCGGGGCAGCTCCAGCCGCTGCCCCCCGCGATGATTTCTTCTCCCACCACCCTTTCCTTTTCTCTCTGTCCATTATTTTTTCCCCTGATCTCTTGGGCTGCCCGCCCGCTGCACCGCGGGGAGTGGGGATCCGTGGAGGGGTGCGGGGCGGGCCCGGGCCCGCGGGTGGGCAGGGGCGCCGCGGCTGCCCCACCGCCCCCTGTGTCGTGGGAGGCGCCGCCTTCCCCCCGGGCGGCACCGAGCCCCGAGCCCAGTGCTGCACATCTCCCAGGAGCGACACGGGAGCCTGGGGGCGCCTGATTTCCTGCTCTGTGCTGGCGGGAGGGTCTGCGTGGTTGGGGGCTACGGTGAAGGTCCGGGGAGGATGGAGGCTCTGCTGTGGAGAGCGGAAGAGGAGCGCTTGGGAGCCCTTCGGTGTTAAAGGTGCTGTCAAACTACGGTGTAACTTCGGCTTTGTGTTATCCAGCGGTGATGGCATGGCTCTAGATCAGGGCCTGGGGTAAAACCACCATGGGGGATCTCCACCTGGTGGCAAGGCTGAGCCCTGCCAGCTCCGGGTCCCTTCTCCCGGGGCTGGACGCTCGCCAGCAGCGCTGCTCGTGGCCAGCTCCAGGGCTGCCTCCCGGCGTAGGAGCTATTTCCCCTGTGGTAGTGGTCATGCATAGGGACTACTGGTGGTCATTTGAAAATATTTTCCTCTTAAATTGAGGTAATAATAATTTGTCTGACTCTTTTCTTCCTTTGGTCCAGCTGAGGTCCAGGATAGTCCCAGGTGGGAGGTGGGCAGTTGATGTCTTCATTGTTAATATGGCTCTTATATCTCCTCACTATTACGCTAAAGTAGGCCTAAGTGTCAAATCTTGACCGTGTTGGCAAAGTATGCTTAAAGGTAGCTGGACGTCATAGTCCTAAGTTGTGCAGTAGTTCACACACCAGGTCTTTTGGACAGAGCCCAGCATTGTTATATCCAGTCCTCATACAAAGAGGAAGAGAAGAAATGTCTGCTGTAGTCAACTCTCAGTTCCCAGTCATGGGCTCCTGTGCCCAGTCTGTAACAGACAGGGTTAGACAGCTATGGTATGAAGGGCCAAGGTGGCTGGCACTGAAACCACTAGTGCAGTGTGCTCAGAAATGAGCTTAAGAGATACCTTCCACTGCCAAGTTCGGCAGACTCTTCCTTCAATTTGAGTTAGTGACCCCATCATCTCTCTTCTACCAGTAGTTGCCATTGCCAGGGTCTGGGAGAAGTCTCCGCTAGTTCCTGTGTGAGCTCTCACAAGGTTTCCCAATCACTGTTGAAAGCTTTTCTGGGACTTGGTGTCATATGACAGTACACAAGTGTCACATGTTTGAGGCTGCCCAGACAAGTAATCTGACAACTTGCTTAAGGGGCTGAGACTAACAGAGATAGCAGAGATAGGGGGAAAGGTAGTTTAACTTGGGTGGTCAGTGTTACTGTGCTCCTTTACCCTGCACTCATTTCTGCTTATGGGCCAACTTCTAGTAAGTACTTACCTGGGGAACAGTAAAATAATACATTTTAGCAATCACAGGCTGTGATGTTACTGGTTCTCTACACTTCTTTTTACTAAGCCATATTCTAAGGAGGAGAAAATGTGTGAAGGTGCTTCTGGTGTATGAGTAGCACATAAAGAGAAGCTATGAATTAATGGCTACTTGATGCTGATCTAAAAAACATTGTGTCTGGTGACTGAAGGTGCAACTGAGGTATGATTCCGTTGCTTCAAACAGCAGTGGATTAGACTGGTAGTGTCATGACTAAATGATTACCTGGCACTGCAGAACTATGCTTGGTGTAAGACAGGGAGCTGTTACTGTCTGGAACCAACCTTCATCTTAACTGAAACTCATTCCGGATGGCCTTTAGATTTTGACAGACATCCTCAGGAGCAGCTGCAGATGCTAACCTTTACCTTTGTGCATCTGTGTGAATGTTAGGTGATTTTTTACTTGTTTGTGGGCTAACAAACATAGTTGCTCTGACATTTCACTTGGTATCAGCTGCAGAAGCAATGATACCTTATTGGAATGGCTTGTTGTAAGGGTTGTAATTGTAAACTTCTTAGCTGTTACTCCAAGCTCAGCTATGGTTTCATTTAGCCTTGTTTGTTGCTTCCTTGTTTGTAGCAGAGACTGCCCAGAGAGGCAGTGGCTGAATCAAACCACGACACTTCCCTATAGCAATTGGTCAAAATGATGTGATGTGTGTAAGTCACAATGTACTAGGCAGTCTTAGCAAGCCTTTTGTGGTGATTCTAGTTTGAAAGAGAGTAACTAAGGACTGTGGAGTTATTTTGGGATCCCTTTAGTGGCAGGCTTAGTCTAATATCATATGTGCTATTTCGGGAAAGGTTGACTGTTTTCACTCTGAAAGCCTGGATGAGAAAGTCTCGAAACTAGCAACAGTCAGTTGTTGCATGTTTTACGTAGTAGTACAGCAGAAACTGAAATAATATGTGACCAGGGCTTGCAAAGCAGAAGGCTACTTCTGTTAGAGGTAACAAGGTGTTGTCAGGGTCAGAGCAAGCTGCTGTTTGTGACTTCTACACCTTCTCTAAGCTGGCTGGAGTGTGCCTCGTAGCACAGAGCAAGCTACTTGTTTGACAGCTCATGACCAAATAGTAATAGCTTTACAAAACCATGCTATTAGTTCATCCTGGAGTATTCTTAAATGGAGAAGGAAATGAGAGATGGAAATAGATAACACAAGAGCTTATGTTCTGATTAATGACACTCTTTGAACACAGTTCCCATGAAAAAAGTTGTTACGGCTTTACTCTGTCTAACAAATGGGTTACTGCTTTATTCCACCAGTATGGCTACTAAAATACATTAACAGAACTCAATAAGCTGCTGTTTCAAATTTTTGCTTTGATTATAAAATTACATAGGATATTCAGCATGTAGAATTGCTCATGTTGTTCTTTCTTGTACTTTGTCCAGAATTTGTGATTGGCTAGTGCCTGATGGCTGGCGAATATAATGTGAAATGTTTGAATAACTTCCTTCTATTTGTGCTTTTTACACATCATACAGAGAAGATGTATAATAGCAAATAACAATCTTCTAAAGTTTGAAGCCCTTTGGAATACCAAGACAAAGTACCTTCACTAAATAATACAGTAAACTAAGAAGGAGCACAGGTCTTGCATTGTGCTGTAGGCATGTGGAGCTAGTAGTAAT